TTTTTTATCCTTATAGTATGGAGTCCCCTGTCAACACACCAATATCCCTCTCACATTCTTCCAGCCCCTCCACGATACTATTCTCCCCGCAGGGCCGAAATTTAGTCTGTAACCCCTAATAAGTCCCTAATAGCTTTTTTATATTCTACGCAAACAACACCTTACAAAAGCTAGACCGGACAAACTGGCAAACCTACAGGAACTCGAACTACGACAGTACCATAATATTATTGTCAGCTTAAAGTATTTTATATCCTAACATCCTCTGCTCCCAAAGAGTCACGAGGTGGGCACTTTCCCACATTCCCACTCCCTAGTGGAGTAAACCAAATTTAGTTAATCGTCACCAGACAAAAAAATAGGCCGAAATATGTGCGCTCAGTCTCATCTACTGGTGACTATGTTAATGGGGATCTACTCTAGGGGCATGGGCCATGGAAAACAACAACACACACATATATATACATTTGTCTCTACACTATGGCCAGCCAAGTAAACCGAAAATCCCAATCATCAAACCTTTACACAAAATTTAAAACTGCTATCATTTAAAACGAAAAAGATGGGCCCACTACCATACCCCTTCTTACCGAATACAGGCATTCTGGATTCCCTTGCCTTCCAAAACTTAAACCCAATATGAAAGGTCAAAGGTCAGTTCCCCCTTGACCCCTGAACTGTCATATTTGATAACAATATTGGACTTTCAGACACAACAGCCCACACCCTTAAAATAGTTCTACCTTTTTCATATCAACTACTCAAAAAAATATAAAATATTCAATTTCATGTAGCTCGTGGATGTGTTCCACCAACTTCCCTCAGCTCCTTCAAAAATTGCCCTGCCCAAAAACTGAGCTGTCGCTATCGTTGTTACCCGGCTTTCTGAGACTACCGTCTTCGACTTCTCCGACTATGAGGGATTGAGCGTCATTTCCCCTTTGACACCCAACCCCTCATACCCAGTTTCCTCTTCAGACTGAATAGCCCCACCACCCCATGCCTTTCAAAGCACAAGCCCCACAAACAACTTTATAAATTAAATAGAAAACAAAAAACAACACAACTCCCAGCTGTTAAATCTATCTCAGCTCTCCTCATTATCACAATGGAAGGACTTTCGTAACGAGCGACCATCTCAACAAACAATAAAGAAGAGACCAACCTCAAACCCTACTCCTACCCCAGCCCACTATTCTTAGTATTCTACTCTGTCTCATACTTGTGGTCGCTCGTTATGGTCCTCCCTTATCAATTCCTACTCCTACAGCTGTCTTATTCTCCCTCCTCTTCCCCTAAAAATATGAATTGTCTTTTTCCCTTGCTACAACTAATAAAACTAATGATCAGCGATGACATACCGACTTGACTGGCTATATATATAATATATATATATATATATGACAACAGACAAACAAAGGGTCGGTGTTAGTGGGTTGTAAAGAAGGTGAAACCTATTATTGAGACTGGCGCACTTCCTACCACAAATTACTGGTTGTACTATGGCGTCTTACCTTATCTAATAAATTATAAACTCTAAACATTTAACTATTTTAAGACGATGAACACATTAACAACACACTCATCCATACATTGACTTTTTATATCTACAACATAAAAACAAAGAAAAAAATGTCTGCAGGTTCCAATCCAAGTCATGGACAAGCCAATTCCCTGAGAGAGAGAGAGAGAGAGAGAGAGAGAGAGAGAGAGAGAGAGAGAGAGAGAGAGAGATCCCCACAAAACCTATTAAAGTGAACAGTCTGACTCTACGTGGGCAAAAACCAAAAATACAAAAATCCTAAAACCATACACACATCGATAGAATAATAGAATACAACTTAAACAACACACGGACCCCGACAAACACACACTTGCCACACATACAATACAGTGCAGAAGTCCATCACTCAGACTCAGCGATCTAAATCACTTAGCCACCATCTAGATCTAGTCCTATCCCTTCATCGGTTTCCTCCACATAACGTCATATAAAGCTATCACCTCCCCACACCTTGGTCCCGTAGCCCACCTAACCTCTCTCCTAGCCACCCGCCCCAACCAGTCCCTGTACCATTCTGGCCCTCCAGCCAAAGGAGCACTGACAATAGGCTCACCTTCACTAGAGATATCTACCTCAAACAACAATCGCTCTCCTTCAACATTCAAACCGACTAAGAAATCATCACGTCTCACCTCAAATCCCAAGAACATGTGCGGTCCTTCCAGGCCATAGAACTGACCTTCCACCAAGTCAATACACTCTATTACTGATTCATCTGGGAGAAGTGACGCAAAATTCCCCATGGCGGCGGCAAAGACAAAGAGAAGGCAGGACTCTTCTACTTCAGTACAGGAACGAATCGATCTCTGGAAGACAAAGATACTAAAGATCGACGTGAAATCTTCAGAAAAGCGACTCGACAGCCAAACAATTGTTCTGGATAACTTGCAAATCGTCTCCAACTAAATGCAGTGAGTCAACACACTTCAAACAGAAGACAGCTTTTGCAACTCGCTACACTGAGCAAAATGGCGACCAATATGGCGACTGACTTGGACGACATCCGCTCAAAGATTTTTCCAACAATTCCTTAGTAAAATAAACCGGAAGTTTATAGAATGGAGGATAGCGGATGTACCTCATGAAAGAGGCAAAAAGCATTGTTCACTAAATAATGTCCATCACACAAATTAAATGCGCAAAATAAATTTAGATCTGTCTTTTAAAAGTTTTTTAAAGAGTTTTACGGCACTCGCAACACAATAAGGTCATATAAATGCCGAAGATTAGAGGTGTTACAAGAAAGTAATAAACACCAAAAAAAAAGGAGGGGGGGGGGGGGGGGGGGAGATAAAGACGATAGATGTTTGATAGGAAAGAAGAAGCAAACCACACTAGAGCACCCGCCAACCACCCACTTAAATCTGTTTGGTTTTTGGTTTTTAAAATAAAGTTGAGTCAACTACATGTATACAGATCTATTTACCTAACATTATTATTTTCCTCATTAATTATAGTAGGCCTATAGGCTATGCTATTGTGTTCAAAATCATAGATCTATACAATCATGTAGGCTAGGCCTACTCTACCCTGTCCTGTATGGTTGGTGTAGGCCTACCGAGTCAAAACACCAACCTCTATAATACTGTCCCTGAGGTTTTTTTTATGCACCCCGCATAATTTAGCCAAATTTGATCATTTTTGGGGGGCATAATTTCTGATTATTTTCCTTTATCATTCTTTGTTTTTGAAAAACAACAACAGAATCGCATAATTTCATATTTTTGGGGCTCAGTTTGCATAATTTCAGAATGTTTCTTGCATAAGAATAAAACGACAGGGAGAGATAATAATATTCACTAGGACAAGGTCATGTACCACAATGATCAGACTTAGAGATCTAGAAACTGCAGTTCGGAAACAAGGGTTCTGAAGAATGACGTAGCTGTTCTAGAAGCAGCAGCAGCCTTTCGTTTGAGGATTTGCAAGAGTTTTACGGCACTTCTAACACAAATATAGGTCATTTATAAGTGCCAAAGATTAAAGGTAGTGCTAGAGAATGACATACACAGTAATGAATGAAGGAGGAGAGACAAGACAAAAATCGATAGATGTTTGATAGGAAGGAAGGATCCGACAAAGCACACCGGAGCACCCGCCAACCAGTGACCACCCACAACCTTTTGTACGAGCTTTCAGTACAGTCGAACCTTGTTTAAGGAACACCTATCAAAAACATTCACCCGTGCAAACAACCACTTTCTGTCCCCGTAGGATTATGCGATTGTGCGGCCGCGATTTTTCGCGTAATTCTGCACATTTGCATAATTTTGAATTCACCGCGTTTTTTCACGTTTTTTCCCCTTTTTTAAAAACAAAACAATTAATTCTATTAATTAACGCCTCGCCATGTGACTAAAGGGAAATAATCACCGTAATAAGTCTTATTTAAGTGAAAGGTTGGTTATTTCCCTTGGTAGAAGATCTTGGTTATGGTTTGGGATTTTGTTCCTTGAGCATGTTCAATTTTTCAATCCATCAAAAGTTGTTGTTCTCGTGTCTGCTGATGCTTCATGTTTGACAGGTGTTCCTGGTTTTAGTAATGTGCCAGCATCAGAGGTCCAGATGTCCTTTTTTTTTTTTTTTTTTTTACATTTTTCTTTCCCAGATCTAGATCTAGATCTAGATCTACAACTGAAAGTTACAGAGATTATATTTTTTAGTTGTTTTTTTTTTTTTTTACAGATGTGTATTGTTTTCTTTCCAAATACACTACAAATTACTGATACTGATATGTTCTGTTTTAAATCTTTCTGTACTTAAAACATAAAAGTCTTGAAAATCTGTGTTGAAAAAGTGCAAAACATGTCGCGAAAGGTGTTACGGTAACTTGCATAATTTGGCTTTTTGGGGGCATTATTTGGCCATCTAAATTCGCATAATTCTACGGGGACAGCACTTTCCACTCCACCCCTCTTGCGTCTTTTTCTGTACAATAATACCATTCCATGTGTAAGGACACTGTCCAAGACTTGAGCCGGATTGAATAATCTGTAGTCTACGCTTTTCTCCTACCTGCCCTTCCCATTTTATGAACATCTGTGGGAATACTTTCCTTTTGAAACACGCTTTGAAACAGAGGCTCGCTGAAGTAAGAGATCAGAATATGCTCACCCAGCACACTCGTCAACAAAGGATGGTAACACTAATACTTGACAAAGAGAGATAGGGGGAAAGAGAGAGAGAGAGAGAGAGAGAGAGAGAGAGAGAGAGAGAGAGAGAGAGAGAGAGAGAGAGAGAGAGAGAGAGAGAGAGAGAGAGAGAGAGAGAGACAGACAGACAGACAGACTGAGAGAGACAGACTGAGAGAGACAGACAGACAGAGAGGAGAGAAAATTGGAGGTTAGTGAGGGGGGGGGGGGTGATTAAAAAGATGACAAAAAGCCATAAAGGTGGTCTGTGATATCTAGTAAAACAATCAAGAAAAGAGACACAATCTAAGTGAATTCCCTTTATTTTCTTCTCGTTCAAGACAAACATGATGTACTTCGTCTGTTATAATGGAAGAGAAGTAGAGAAAGATTCCGTCATCTACGCCAAGCGTCGAAGTCAAGCATTCTCCTTTTTTGCGGGGGGGTGGGGGGGGTCTCATTTTATAGATGTCATGTTGGAGAGGACTAATTTAACTTTTTATTTCTTCCCAATTAATTTGTGCCCCAAGTCCCATATAATGGGGTCTGGACAGTGACAGGAGATGCATCCGTTGCTGTCTCTCTTCCTCTTTCCCCCCGCACAGACACAGTCCAAGTTTAGAAAACGTCGGCAGATAGTAGGCCTACCACGAGCGAGTTTGTTGGCTCCCACCTCCGGGCTAGGCATGCAAGCTGGGGGACAGAATTTTTTTAAAAGTTTTAATCAGAATTTTACGGCACTTGTAACACAACTACATGTAGGTCATATTATAAAGAAAAGATGGAGATATAAGGAGGATAGAGGTTTGATAAGAAACACCACACCAGAGCACCCGCCAACCACACACATTTACCAATTGAAACCTAGAAAACAGATCCTTAGCGAAACACAAAAAACAAAAATGATAAAAATACTACTACATTGTACTACTACTATATAATAATAATAATGATAAAATAATGATAAATAAGTAAATAAATAAATTAATTAATAATAATAATAACAATAATAATAATATTAATAATAATAATACATTAATAAATGGTAACATTAAATATAACAATAATAATAGTAGTAGTAGTACTACTAGTAGTAGTAGTAGTAGTAGTAGTAGTAGTAGTAGTAGTAGTAGTAGTAGTAGGAGATGACTTGTGATTGTCTCCGGTAGGAATAGTATATTATTATTAACAATAGATTCAGTAATATAATAGCTCTATCCCATGCAAGTGATATAGAAATTTTTGTCGATGCTAAGTTAATAGCGAATAAACCTTGACTTACACACACACACACACACACACAAGAAACAAAAAATTGGGATATGCACAAGAAAACTAGTTTAACTATATTATAATAGAGCATTGCATGATAGTCTAAGCCTGAAGCTCTAGCTTGTGGTGGTAAAGGCATGCAGGCAGCCACATCCACATTATAACGAGTAAATGTTACTGGAATTTGTCATTGATGCATGGACTGAAGTCTCCCTCCCCTGACACAGAGATAAGAATGGCGACGAGGAGAAGATCCTTCATCTTCATGTCTCTTTCAAGTCTCACAAGGTGCTCAGGAAAAGATCTGTTTTATCTCGCCAACACTTGCCATTTGAATACGTTGGTACGTCCTTGAATAACCTCTTATGACTCCTACTGATAAAACTACAGGTTTTTGCTTTGTCTGGCATCTGCGTTTGTCGCGGCCGCGACCTGCGAATCGTGACCTCGATTTTTGGCATTTTTGGGTCCGCGATTTGTGTATTTTTTTAAAAAAAGAAAAAGAAAGTACACACCGTTGGGGAATAAAAACAAACCAGGGGAAAATGGGGAATAAAAAAACTCTAAAACCCGAACCTCTTTACTTTTAACTTTTAGAAAGAAAGTTTATTTTCACTTTCGCTTCACTTCGTCTCTTACTCACTAGTTGACATTGAGTTGATTTATTTTCATGTGAAGAATATAAGTACTTTGCATAGCCTACTATTTATATTGCTGGTTCTCTTTCATTCTCCTCTATGTTGTGTTTTAATTTGTTGGTGTGTTAATTGTTTTCTTGTCATTGTTCTGATGTGTTGTTTTCAATTTTTGTGTTTATACATACAAGCGTAAAGTCATTTAATTTGGTACATGTATAATGTATAGTTCTTACCTTTTTTAAATACATGTATGTGGTATGTTAGAGCGTGTCTCCACCAAAACCGAATACAGAGGAGTCCACTTATAACGAGAAGTCTGTTATAATAAAGACACAATTCTAAAACCCCGTTTTTTTCTCCTCTTTACCTTTGTAAATAAAATACTGTTATTGAAAGTAAAGTCACCGCTTACGGTATGTGTCAATATGTCCAGTTCAACTTTATAACGTATCTTTATGTGTTGTTGTTGTTTGTTTTGTTTGTTTGTTGTTGTTGTTGTTTTTGTTGTTTTGTTGTTGTTGTTGTTTTTTTTTTTTGGGGGGGGGGGGGGT